GTGTTATGTTCTAAGCTTTGAGACTTTAACATATTGAATTGAAATTGAAAATTTCCTTGGGAAAGCCATACAACAAAAGGCTTGGCTAGCCATTGACATGTGAAAAATATGAACATGGAGATGAAGACTTTCATCGGAGACCTCTACCACACCCCCTTCAATCTTTTGCTACCCTTTGGGTCATCAACAGTGTAAGGACATCGTTTCTTGCAGGGCACATCATTTCTTGCCTTGTTGGTAGACTCCAGGATAGAGTGGCAGACTGTCACCCGTCAATCAACAGCAAAGCTGACATTTCTGAATGAAGAGCAGAATGAAGGAACCAGGAGAAACTTCAGCACCTGACTTCTACACATAATTTCCCAGTACGTAACGGACCTCAAGGTCATAGAGTAAATGGAAGAGTGAACCTGGGACACAGGCTAGATGGACCTTCCACCCTGCCCCCTCCTCACAATCCCCATGACCTGAATGGCGCTTCTTAGGTTGTCTTTTTCTGGTTGACCTTGGTTTCATGTGCTGCGTCCTACAAACACAGCTCTCCAAACACAGGAACAATACCTGAATGATTTCTGTGGAAGCTGATAGCCATTGTCAACCCATGGTTGGTTGAGGTTGGTTTCAGGTCAGTTCAATAGCCCATAGAATTCCTTACTTGCTACACTTACTTGGGTCCAGCTGCCATCTATTCATTCCCTTGCTTGTGTATGTAAGCCTTCTGGAAACGATACTATCTAAAGCACAAGTGGTTTTGATGCCAACTCTAAAGCAAGTCGGCAAGCGCAATCATTCGTAAACCCAAGGAAACCAGCGTAAACCAAACACTTCCATGACATTTTTACATGAATCTTTACCCAAAGGCCTTTAGGTAACTCAAGAGATTCTCTCTCGACAGCACCTTTACAACCTCCTACATAGGATCCCCGACAGACTTAGGACATCAAGATGGACTTCCAAGAGACAGTTTCAAGGCCCCCAACCCATGTAACTATAGTTTCCTGGGACTCTAATGCAGAATGTGGTGCTAAAGAATGGTTGGTTAGAATGGAGGCACAGCAGTCTTTTCAAACATAACTGTCTCAGATGGACTAGGAAGTAGATCATAGGCAGGCCAAGACAGGTCAGTGGCCAGGCCTTGAAGTGCAAATGTGCCGTGCCTCGGCCTAGGTAAAGATCTCCATGCTCCAGACATCCAGCCATTCTCCTAGATCCACCTAAGATCTTGAGCTCGGCCAGGCTTCCTCCCCAAAGAGCAAGGTCCAGGAGTTGGTTTTGTGCCTAACAAGCCAGTTACCTCTTTCCTAACTCTGCTTCTATCCAAGGACCATGCACATATGCAGTTTCCCTGTGGTCTTCACTACATAATAACGCCATGGCAAAACCACCAGGGATCTATCGCGCACTGTAAAAAGGAGGAAAAATAAAGTTCAAACGGAGCAAAGTTGCTTGGGGTGACAGTCTCCAGACAATGGCTGCCCTGCATCCAAGATCCAGCAGCTCACTGACACACACTACAGATCTTGCCACAGCCCAGTTCAATGACCGGTGTTGACATCCCATAACCCTCAGGAACAACTTGTTGGCCCAGCCTAGAGAGAGCACTGTGGTCCTCCGCACTCTTCCCGCATCCCTATCCCGTATTTCTCTTCTTGACCTTCAGGCTCCTCACCTCCTCCGTTTCTTGCTCCCAGCCAAGTAGCCCCGATTCCCTCTTCCCGCCTCCACATGCAGAGCGACCCTCATGACCATATCCGGTTCCTAGGATGTTGCTGCCAGGGAATCAGGCGTCCAGAGGTGACAGCAGTAGCCCAAGGGAACCTCCCCTTCTAGCTGTGCCCTGCCAGAAAGCAAAAAGGAAAACATACTCGCAGCTTATTTTTGCTTTAATAATATTTTTGTGTAATTATCAAGGACTCTCAAAGCCTCTTGCCCCTCCTGTGTGGTAGGAATAATAAACACGCCCATTTTATAGGGGAGACGGGGGAAGTGTGGCCTAGCACGCAGGAGGGAGCATGACTCATGCCCAGCAAGCCGTGAGTCAGATGAAATGACCCAGGCCTTCTGACAGCGGAGCTGGGGGCCCATTCACAAGGCCAGGCATCCTGCCTACTGTTACTTCCAAACATTTAGTGTGGTCCTTGGCTTCATGTTCCATGCCCTAGCTCACTTCTGATTAAGTGTCTACCATGATGCAAAACGGGCCTTGGTCTTTCCTGAGTTCTAGCAGAACCTGTAATGTTTTACTAGGAGCCTTAAGCATCCAAAAAGGTGGGCTTCTTAAGCAAACTTGCCATGGAAATTTGGAAGAGTGGCCCTGTCTGAGAATATTGGGCAAGGCCAAACATCCAGCTGAGGTTGGAGACCGGGTGATGCTCTTCTCTGGTGGCTGATTCCCTCGCTCTAACACCTGGTAACAATTTTGCTCTGTAGGGACTGAGAAGCATAAGAGGTGCTGTGATGAGCTACTTCTTGTGCGATCAGAGTAGTTTGAAATCCTGGGAAGACCTGTCACAAGAAAGTGGTCATGGGTCTTCCTGCAGGCCATCCCCAGGGAAGAAGAAAAGGAATAAATGAGAGCCTGCCTCCAGAAGGCCAGTAAAAAGGGTAGGGGTAGGGTTGGCAACCTCAGGACACCCTTTAAGGCAATCCACCACTTTTAGTAAGCCAGGTACTTATATAGAGACCTTCAGTAGAGTCACTGTATAATATATAACCCAAACCAGGCATTTTAACTAGTGGCAGAAGCTACTCATGATTTATTTTAAGATGATACGTCATTATAAGAGGATAGAAGGCGTAAACAAAGAAGGCGACTCAGTACAGGCAATGGACGGACGGCCTTTGCCATCAGTGTTGAGGATGACAAGGAATGACTTCTGCCCAAGGAGCAACAACTCCATGTGAAACACGGGCGCAAAGGATACAGAGGGACATAACCCAAGCCTGCCTGGCTATCCGGAGACATTAGAAGGGAAAAAATCTCTAGGAAGAACTGAAAAAGAAAGCGAGATAGAGGTGTGGGCACCTGAGCTGGCATTTGAGGGCTAGAGGGGCATTGAACTTGTGGTAATAAGAAGTCAAATGGAGCCCATCAAGGGCAGAGAGTATCAGGAGGCTCAGGTCCTCTGTAGGATGCTCAGAGAAAGGCAGAGTCAATTTGATGTGACTGCAGTAGACCAGGGCAAGAATGACAAGAAGGAGGTCCAGGGCCAGGTCGGTTTCGGTTCTAATTACCAGACACCGACATGGACAAACGATCCTCCGTTTCTAAGCATCGTTGACCAAACCAGCGATTCCTGCCCAGGGTTTGCTTTGTGACCAGCCACCGCTGGTTTCCCCAGGCCAGTGGTCCTCGCCCTCCCTCAGTAAGGGTCGTCTGAGGAAGCGGCCACCACTCTGGTCACTTCCAAGCACTTTCTCTCGCTAACCACTGGAGAAGTGGGTTTGGATTTTCACAGGATGTACCATTTTGGCAGTCCAAGAAGCCCAGAAAACTGAAAGAGGTGGCTTTGAGGGGCTCTCTCCTTTTACATATTTCACCTTAGAAGCATCCTTGTGAGACCTCTCCTCTTGCCTCCCAGCGCGTTCAGCCTCCCTTTAGACCTTGGGGGCTTTCGGAGACCTGAAGGGTCACGGGATTACAGAGGGACTTTCTCCTTTGGTCCGTAAGACCTCGCTGTTGGTGAAGTAGGTTAGGAGCGAGTAACAGGAATTGAAGAGCAGAGAGATGATTGACAGCTGCGACAAGCACATATCAACCAGGCCCCGTATATGGAACGCAAAAAAAAAACGTTCCATCCAGCTCTCTGAAAGGATAGAGGGAAAGAGGGGAAGGGACGGAGTAGAAGAGTGTCCAAGGGCTTCTTCAGAACTTTCTTCTACATCCCACCTCCAGCCTTACCCCCTCTCTTATTATTTCCTCGCAGCCCTAGAAAATGGGTCTAAGGCTGTGCGGTAGGGAAGGGCTGCGGGTGACATCTCCACAGACGCTGTAGTTTGGTCCTGCAGGATTCCTGGACCTTTAAAGGGCCACTTGTAAACTCCTGGTGCCAAGCAGAGGCAGCGGGAGGAGCTGGGGCGCGGACAGTGGGGAGACTGGTCTGCCTTCAGTGCCTAGAAATCAAAGCAGCCAACCTTGGGCTTTTTCTTCCCTTCACACTGAGGCACTTTTATTGGCGAGATGAAGGGAGGCAGAGAGGGCCTACAGCCCTCGCTTCGCTTTTGGAGGTTAATGACCCAGTTAGCAGCTCTTGGCTGAGTTTCCGACATTTTGCAGACATCAAGCCCCGCGCCTCTGCCAAGTACATTCTGTTCCCTGGAGCTCGTCCAATGCATCTCAGATTACTATGTAATGCGACAAAGAGGGAGAGGTGGCTGGGAGGGGCCCGGAGAGCTGGGCGGGGTGAGCGGGCGGTAGCCGCGAGGGCAGGACGCAGAAGCCGGCTGGCGGGTAAGGGGGACGACTCTCTAAATAGAGCAGCTTCCCGGGAGTCGCATCCCTCGAGGGGCTTCTTAGCAGGAGATGAGCCCGATGAGGGTGGATAGGTCCTGTCCTTCTGGAATCCTGCCCCGCGGAGCCCCGCAAGCTGGGGGTGGGGTGCAGGAGACGGGGCGGGACGGCCCGAGGAGGAATCCGAGGGGCGGGCTTAGGGGTTCGACTCCGCCCTCGAGGCTGCCCCACTCCCACCCCAGCAGCTCCAGGGGTGAGCAGCCTGCGAGCTAATTATAGACCTGAATGGAAAGCGGCGCTTTTGAATGATCTTGTTGCTCCCACTGCCTTTCGAGGCTGAGGAGCAGGTGCGGCCCTGCTAGATACAAAGTGATTCATTTAAAAGCCCTCTGTCACGCACGCTGGCTTACTGACACACAGGAATCCTTGTGCGCTCCACCACCCAGAGGATTCCAGAACTGGCTTAAAAGGATTTGAGCCCAGGCATGCAGGACAGAGACCAGGAGACTTCTCAAACCTCCTCATCACTCTTTGGTAATCTCACCGAGTATATGGGAGAGTCCTAGGCCTTCTCAAAATCTTTAAAAGGAGGGTCTTGTTTTACATTCACAGCTGGAGCAATGGAGGCAGGGACATCGTCTGAGAAGTGTCTGTGGGAGAGCCAGGGAGTCAGTGTGAGGCCAAAGGGAAGTCTGAGGTCCTGTCAGCCCCTTTCTCTGTCTGATCAGATTGGAGTCTGAAGTCTCCAGATCCGAACCTCTGGCACAGCATGGCACTTAAGAGTACCGTTTCTCCCCAGGTGTGACACCTACCCATTGTACCCCCTAGACCCAGTCCTCCCAGTAATCCAGTTGAAGCCAGCCGGCAGTTAGGCGATCTGGGAACAGGCTGGGCTGGAAAGTGCCCATTTCCCGGTGTGCTGTGTGAGTAAATCCCATAAGGCTCTGCCAGCACAAACCCAGATGAGGAACTACAGAGGGGGCAAAACATAGCCATTCTTCCATGTCAGCATCTTATGTCCACCTTGGGTTCATAGCCACAGTTAGCCAAGACTTTTCATGACTGGATGACCTACTCCAGTCTGCATAAGCCCCATCAAGCCATGTTCCCATTTGATGGAGTCCTTGCAGAAATGGAGTCTTGCAGGGAGGAACTGACTGGCTCACAGTCATCTGACGATGAGTGTCTGTGGAGAGAGCCCAAAACAGGCCTGACTGGATCCTGGGATGAAGTCAATACATTTCTTTCTTAGGTCAAATTGTAAGCCCACTCAGTCACAGAGAAAGATTGATGGAAGCAACCTGGGTATTTGCTCTCTGGCCCCCAGCCTTCCCCCTCTAGGTCTTCCACATCCCCATCTCCCATTCTTGTCTGCGTTGGGCTCAGAGAGCTGTTGCTTTCCCTAGGTGAAAGTCTCTAAACTCAGTCAGTGCGTCTGACTTTAAAAAGTGAGTCCACTGCATCACCTGTACCAACCAGTGCCACCTCCCCTTTGCTGACCATCTTGGACCTAACCTCCTTCCCACTGGCCACTCCAGGACTTCCATCAGTGCCAACGGATCAAGAGGCAGCGTCGAGTCGCGTACAGAAAGAAACAGAAACTGGGGGTAGAGATTATTGTAATTGCTTTTCACTTGCTGCTTACAAGTTCTAGATTGCGGGCTTTGTACGTACCCACCCTCCCCAATATCCACTCAGTTCCATCCAATCCTTTGAACACAGCAAATGAAGAACTACAATGATAAAAATCTCACATGGCAGCGCAGTACTGTATGTGTCTAAGCTGGCAGTGGTGGCGTTTCTCTGAAAACAGGCGAATGTGAGTGTTCTCGTACCAGTCCAGGTGCCGCTCTGATCTGCAATAAGCACTGTTCAATCTGTCCAGGTCTTGGCTTTGTTCTCTGTGGAAATGGACATAGCATGCCTTATTGAGGCAGAGCTTCAGGGCTGACTCAGGAAGGAACAGAGGGCTCAGAGAGTGTCTTCAATAGGAGTACCCAATTGAGGGTCTGAATTCTATTTTTTGTCTTGGATACACTTTTAAGGTTTTATGTGTCTCGATTCCGTAAAGTTCAAGAGGATAACAATAGTACCCACTTTGGAACTATGTGGATGAAATGAGTTTAAATGTAAAGGGCTGAAAGACATGCCTGGCTCATAGTTAGTCAGTAGGATGAAGATGAAACGTATATAAAGGGACCTCCAAGAATAAAGCCTATCAGAGAGAGAGAGAGACCATGCTCACTAAATAGCCTCTGTGTGTTTTTCTTGTTCTTAGAATGGAATTCCCCCAAGATTAAATTTGAATATTGTATACGAAAAACACGTGGGGCTCTGTAAGATGGCTCACAAACTACAATATTAACTTTGTAGTTAGTGCACTGATTTAGCAAATATCATGCATTAAACATGTGTGATCAAACTTGATATGTAGAGGTAAATAATGTCCATACCTTCAAAGGAACAATAAGCAAGTATGGACCTGCTATTAATATACAGATATCTAGTACCAGGGAAACCTGGTACTCGCTTTGACTAGCACAAAGCGCCAAGTGTCGTAAAGCATCCAGAAGCAGAAGCCTAGAGGTGGGATGAGGATTCAGGAGGAAATGCAGTCGTGGTAGAAAGAACACAGTGCTTCCTGGGGGAATTACCATAATCTAGGGGACTGAAGAGATGGCTCAGCGGTTAAGAGCACTGCCTGCACTTCCAAAGGTCCTGAGTTTAATTCCCAGCAACCACATGGTGGCTCACAACCATCTGTAATGAGATAGGGTGCCCTCTTGAGGAAGAGATCTGGTCAGTCATCCTCATGAACTTAGACCATGAAACCCAATATGGACAAGTTCAACAGAACCGCCACACATGGGCTGCCCATGCCTGCTGCAGCATTGCCAGGGCATAAATTTCTATTTCAATTTTTAGACACTTAGAGATGACAACAATTCCCAGTTTTAGAAACAAAAAGTAGAACCCACCTAGGAATGGGAAGAGCACATTCGCCACACCGCATGATGGCCAGTGTTAAGAGAACACAACCCAATCAAAGAAGGGGCAAAATAAAGATAGCAGACTAAAGAGGGAAAACCGGGAGACTGAGTGCTCCAAAGAGACCAGGGATAACCAGGAGGGTCCCAGAGGGCTTCCTTGTAGCACACTGTTTCTGTATGCCTCTGTTTCTCATCTGTGAAAATTTTGGAATAAAAAAAGCTAGGCATGTTTGTGCATGCTTGCAATCCCAGCGTTTGGGAGGTGAAGGGAGGAGGATGGGGAGCCTGAGGTCGACTATTACTTTTATAGAAAGTTTAAGGTGAATCTGAACCCCCAAGAACAGAAATGAACAAAATAAAATGTACATACTACAACACATAGTAGGTGCTATATGAACATTCACATATTATTTTGTAGAAGACATTTTGAATGTGGTGTGTGCTATTTTAGATCACACCATTCAGATTATATAACTTGAGAATGTGAGATATTATCAATCATCTTCACTATATTTTTCTGCCCTGCCCTTTTAGTCCTAGATGTCTTTGACATGCTTTCTTCTCTCAGAGTGTTGGCTTCCAACCTGGAGAATTCAAGCAGAATAGGTAAGGCAGGATGGGTACTGACTCTCTCCATTAGTGTGGGAATGCTGAACGAAACAGTTCAAACCCAACAAGAACAACTCCATGAGCTCACAGATCCAGTCCCAGGGCCTGGGAGGCTGTCCCAGCCAGGGACCAGGGCACACGAGTTGGTGTTGGAAATACCCAAGGTAGGAAGCTCACGCAGTGCTGAATCATCAGAGCAGGGTCCACCCGGTTTCTAGCAAAGACAGACCAGACTTTAGCTAGGAGGATAAGACTGGGAAGGTAGATCATCAGGAGAAGAACATAAAAACCAGGGCTTAGAGCAAAATCCAGGTAGAAAGGAACAGAGATTACAACAAATCTAGGGGTTCAGAAGAGGATAGACGTGTCTTATTCACCTCTAATTACAAAAGCCAATGAGCAGCACAATAAACTTGCTTATGGATACAGTAGGTTGGGGGGAAAAAGTACAAAGCCATTCATCGGGATGATGTCACCATATTCAGGAAAGCTATCTCCTGTGTAGACGGTGCGAGGTGCCAAGGAGAGGACGGGGACACGGAAAGAGGGGGCTCTAAGTCTGTGTGTTATGTTTGATTTCCTTCAGGAAAATGGAGATCTGAGGCAAAGAAGAAAAACTGTGAGCATCTGCTCTTCCTGATGATAAATACATGGCATCTGTTATAGCCTTTCTGTATGATTACTATTTAATAATTTAAAATAAAGGCATAAAAGTAGTAAATATTTAAAATCTAATACATTTTATTAATATCTGTCACTGTAGAAAAATCTGGGGATTTTATGAATAAAAACATAGGGAGGTAATGTCTTTTAAGTGCTCCAATGTTGGCTACCGTGCATGGTAGTTCCAAGCATGGGAACTGGTCTGGCTCCAGTAGGACCTTGGCAGAGGGTTTGTATGCTGATGCCCACACATATGTGGAAGGAGAACTTCTGGTTTCTTTCAGTCATTTGGCCAGCCATTCCCTAACTGACCTTTCTGGCCGGAAAGTCCCATCCCATTTCTATTTAGGAATTGGGATCTTGCATTCATACATACTTACACACACGAGGTGGGGGGGAAGAGAGAGAGAGAGAGAGAGAGAGAGAGAGAGAGAGAGAGAGAGAGAGAGAATTTGCTAACGGTCAAAGCTTAACGCTACAAATTCTACACAATAAAATTTATGGATTTTATCTGGGCAGACCAACAAAGCTCAACCAGCACCATCAACCAGGGCACCTAGCGGCATTTATAGAAATTACCCAGCAGCAACAGCACCCATCCCTTCCAAATGTGCATGGGGGCGCATTCACCAGGAGAACCTGTCCTGAGGCCCAACAGCTGTAGCTCCCTTGAAGCAGAGCTCCTCGGGTCCTCCCTCAAAAATCAGTTTCTTTTCATAGAAAAGTTTGGAGACCTCTTGCCTCAGACTTCAACATGACAAGAAAGAAGGCTGAATTGTGATGTGATAACAGAAACCCATCAATATGGCTAACGGCCAACCCATTTGACAGCAGGCAGAAGCAGCAACATGAGGGCCCGAGTAGAGCATTCTGGGACCATGTAGTTATGGGGGAAACAATATCAAGTCCAGAAAGACCTTGGAGAAATGTGCATTCTATGCTAGCCAGCTTCATAGAGAGAGGCTTCAGAGGCTTCAGCTGAGGAGGGTTCTGCCTGCTCCTTACCCACAAGAGGCTGTGTGTGAGGCTGTTTCACTTCCCCTTCCTGGAGATTGACTTCCTCTTTGGGCAAAACTGAGTCACTAGAATCTAGTAACTCGATCTCCAAGATAATTTCCATTTCTACCTCCCTGTTACTATTTTTGTGTTCCTTCTAATTGCCTGGGCCTTCAAACAAAGGGTACCAGACATCAGAGGCCTACAGAGACTGAACTGTTTTCCCCCACAGTCCCTGGATATGTTCAGACATATCCCAAAGGGTTTCACGAGGACATATTTACAAACAGCTTCCAGCAGGCAACAAACTGATAGAATAAGCCTTGCAAGAGAAATCCTCTATAGCAGACAATTTAATTCTGAACAATAGACCACATGAGGGGGTATAAATAACTAATTATACTACCCAACATGAACAGTTTTTTTGGACGATTGCAAAATTGGGGAGGAAGGAAATGCAATGGTATTTATATATTTGGGCTTCAGTCAAAGATTTCATCTTCACTCTTAGGCAATTTTACATACAAAATTAGCTCAGACTAGAACATGGTCAAACAGCCCAAAACTGGCAGCAGTCTGTTAGCCTGGGGAACAGTTTGTGTCCAAGCATCAGGGAAATAGAATGGAAGGTTGACCGTGTTTTCCTGCAGTTCCTATGGGATGCTCTGAAGGTGGTACCTTGGTCCCTGCAGTGACCTACAGAGGAGACAGCAGTAGAAATACAACATATTCCAGGATGAAGTCCAGCTTTGATATACACTCAGGCATACTCAGTTCCACCCTTTTCCCTGGGTTCTACTGTCATCCATGGCTATGCCAACCCTTCCAGATGCAGAAACTGAGGTGTTCGTGTGTCACTGCATGCCCAGGGCCTACTTCTAAAATTCATTGTTGGGCCGATTAATAAAATGAAAAAGTTATGGCCTACCCAGGTATAATTCCTTGGCCTAAAGGATGGCAGTTTACCACAAACGATGTCTTATACATATCTTTACGGAGATACAAGGCTCTTTAAGCACAGAGGACAGAGTTCATTTTAACCGTGAAGACTGTCAAGGGCCTTTACTTCCTGCATGCCTTTGCATACCCATTTTCTCATGCCTGGCTGTTCCTTAAATCCTAGACATAGTGGAAAGGGGAAAGATAGCTATGAAGACAGACGTTCTCTCATAGTCTCTTGCAGTAGCAATTTTTAAACAAGTGAATATAAATATTAATGCTGAGTTGTGTTATGGATTTTGAAGAAAAAGAACATGTCATTTAAGTTAAAATGAGGCCAGGTCACGGAGGAAAGGATGGTGTGAACTTACATCTAGGGACTTAGGGATGGCCTCTTTAGAAGTGGCATAACAATGAACAGGGTCCAGCTATGATCTTCGGGGTATATTGCAAGTGCTTTGCACTTATTGAATAAATGAATAGATCTTTATAAATGGAGTATGACTTAAGAAGAAACTTGAAGATTCTGAAAAATAGAGTTAGGGGAGAAGAGATTTCCAGGAGGACAGAACAAGTAAACCAGAAGTAATAGGAGGGGAAAAAACCAGTATAGCTAGAAGCAGCTAAGTAGATGTGGATCGCTCAGTGTGTACCCCAAGTGACATGCCAAGGGGCAGCAGCAGGGGTTGACCACGGGTCCCGAGAAGAGGTCAATGAGCAGAACTGCCTTGCGGAAAGGTGTCTCTGGAACAACTATAAGGGATTTATGGGTGGGAAAAGAGAGTGGGGAAAATAATAAAGGGTTAGCGGACTGCAAACCTGGTCCAGGGTCAGCTAGGAGAGCGGCGGGGGAAGCAAAGTGGCCTGACGGCCTAATGATTTACAGTTGAGTGGGAGGGGGAAAGAGAAGCCAAATTCAGCAATACATCTCAAGTCTTTGACTCGAAAGGTGTGTGAGGAGGGAGAAGCTCGTGGTAAAGATTACATGCAGAAAAAAGGAAGAAGACTCGGGGCGGAAGGGAGCATGGAAGATACACCTGATACTTGAGGTTTGCAGAGCCCCCAGTGAGGACTATCCAGGAAAGAACGAAATACCCCAGAATGTCCCAGGTCAAACTCTTCTACAGGTTTCCAGCACAGAAATTCAACTTGAACCTGAATCAGTGCAATGGTTCAGAAGACTAATTCTAGAACTCTTCAGGCTTCTAAGCCCCTGCACCTGCTGGCAGAGATGTACTTTGTATAGTATTAGACTACCGCGACAACCATGAACATTGCTATCGGGTCATCATGGTGATTGGGCCAGCATTGTTCAATCACTTCTCTGCTCTGAATACGTTCCCAATCGTCCTTCTACTGTGCCCATTCTACTGTGACATGAAATTTGAGCTAACTCTCTCCCACTCCATATCCCCAAAGAGCCAAGACAATTCTCCCCTGCTCCACTGAATCTTGCAACCAAATTTAAAGCCCAGTGAAACGTGGAGGGGGGTGTTCACACAGAGATCTAGGGCAGGAAATGTAGTGAATGCAGAAACCCCAGTTTTGATGGATAGAAAAATGGCACATCTAAGTGTTTCTGAACATAATTAATGAGGGCCCCCGGCCAAGCCTGCTATGGAAGATTACTCAGGATAAAGGGTTAGTTGGCTAGGCAACCTACAGAGGGAACATTGTTCCTCAGCAACCCTCTAGTCAAGACTGAGAACAGATGAGGCTAGAGTGATATCGCCATGCTCGGCTCTCAAAGACTTTTTCCTAGAAAGCGGAAAACAAAGGCAGGATATGGGCCTCGCTGCCTGCTTCCTTGGGAGCCCTGCAGCAGAACTGGCCCCTCACATAAGCCAAGAATGAAGCCTTCAAATTGCTACCAGGGAGCGCACAGGGTCAGAAGTTCCTAGAAGCACTTCCTATTTGAATCAAAGCCGCGCGGGGTAGAGCGAAGTCTGAGGTCAAATGCAAAGTGGTTTTTAACTCTGACCTACACGCTCATCCCCTTGATGAAACACTTAACTACTTTGGGGTGGCTACAGATGGTACGGCAACAGCCCGCAGCGCCGACAGGCCTTCAGTTCCTTTAATCTGTCAGAGGGTGTTGTCTGAAGCTTTCTCCTCTTTGGTTAGTTTGTTTGCTTCTTTCGAGAACAGGATCTCTTGAACCCAGGCTAGTCTCAAACTCACCAAGTAGCCGTGGCTGGCCTGAAGCAGACTAGTTCTCTTCTCTCTGCTTCTGAAATATGGAACACCAGGAGGGCACCACTATACCTGGCTAGAGTCTGAGCCTTCCTACAGAGCTAAATAAATATATGACTATAAGACAAGCAGTCCCAGAACAGACCACATCCCTCACCTACACTTCTGAAAGATGTACATAGTAGTTTTTTTACTTTCAAAGTTACTCACCTTGTTTGTTCGTTATTTTGTTTTGAAACATTACTGTGCAATTCAGGCTGGCCTCAAACTGAGGAGTCTCCTGCCAGAGCCTCCTACATGTTAGAATTACAGGCGTGTTCTACCACACTGGATATTTATTCTGTTTCTACTGTTGATATTCTTTCCTTTCCATTTCTTTTCTTTTCTCTTCTTTTCTTTCTTTTTTTTTTCTCCTTACAGGATTTTTCTGAATAGCTCTGGCTGTCCTGGAACTCACTCTGTAGACCAGACTAATCTCAAACTCAGAGATCCACTTTGCCTCTGCCTGAGTGCTGGGATCAAAGGTGTGCACCACCACTGCCCAGCTTGATTTTATTTTCACCATTAGAGACGGCAGCACTGAACAAGAAAAGACCCAAGTTCAAAACCAGCCCCTGGGCCTCAGTCAAGTATCAAAATAAGAGGGTGTTCCTAAGTTATCTTGGGTCTTATGATAGATGATAGATAGATAGATAGATAGATAGATAGATAGATAGATAGATAGATAGATAGATAGATAGATAGAT